AAAAAAAAACATCGTGAAAAGCAAGTGTCTGATAGCTGCTGCTACTAGGTACGCTTTAAGAATCTTTTTTTTTACATTATTTGCTAGTACTTCTGATCAAATTTTCATGATTTATGCTATATGTTTACAATTAATTAATAATTCCACATAAATTTCACTACGTGATGGCTGAAGGCTCGTTGCGCTGTAACCACCTACAACCAAAACCATTGTTTAAAACCATAAACATTATTAACTAGCAACAATTCTTCGTAGTTCGTAGTTAATTCTTTTTTCACTGATCTCCAGATTTATTGAATATTCTACAAATCTAATAAACAAATAAAGCATTACAAGATAACAAGTTAGTGCATATAAAAAATCAAACTTGGAATAGTTGTAGGGCAAACCTTACAATTAACCACTAAGCTAAATCCTTAAATGCTTCGTAGTTGAACTCTTGTTTGTAAAAGTGCTTGTCATACAAAAGATAAGTTTGATGGTAAAAATGTTTTTATTTTTTACTTGTTAGGTTTATATATTAAAATTAATACTCGATAATTAAATATATCTAAGTATACTGCATTAATACAAAAAAAAATGAATCAACTAAAAAAAACTTAAATCTCCACGCACAAGATGTTTTGAAAATAATCTTTTAATTGTTTAAAAGAATACATATGATCTAATATAGTAAAACACTATCGACATAACAAGTTTGCTAGGCACTTGAATTAAGTTTTTATATTTTTATTTTTATTATAACATATAAAAACTATAAAAATATCAGTTAGATATTTTTCTGGATAAGTGTGTTTTATTTTCATATGCAATGTTTTTTAAAAGCAATTTTTAATTAAAAATATATTAAAATAATTTAAAAATATTTAAAAATTATTAAATAAAAAATAATTTGTAACACAAAAATAAAGACTCGATGATGATAAGAGGGAGGCAGTCGCTAGGGGTCCCTACCAGAGCGCAAGGAGAAGGTCCGCGTGCGTTTACATTTTGGGTCCGTGCCCTCAGTAGGAGTAGCCTAATAGAAGCTGGCTGGCTCAGAGTCATTCATTGCTGTCGAGCGACACGGCGCCCAAGCGTTGAAAACGTTTGGCGCCATGAAGGCAACCTGGTGGCGTCCTGCCGCGCCTTGAATGCGCATGTTTGTTTTTCCCCCCTTGGTCTATCTGCTCCATTATGGAGCCGACAAATTGACTGTGTGATTATGAAACATACCCACATTCGTTACAGTATTTATTTATTTATTTTACACCGTGGTATCTCCTAAGCTTATACGTATTTTAATTAACTTTTTAAAATTAATGATTAAGAAGCTTGCTATAGCTCTTAAAAAAATACACTCTCACCCTCAGGGTTCAATTTGCTCTAAAATTCTTTGGATAGTTGATGGTTCTAAAGCATATTTAAATTAATAAATAATAGACTGTCACGTGAGTAATTGAAAATACTTTAAAAAAACTATACACGTATTCGAAACCATAGTTTTTCCAACCACTGGAAAATAATATTTTTCAATATTTCATGCATATTTAATCGCAACATAATCAGAGCTCACATGGATTGCATTGCAAGGATTTAAGTAATTTCTCTCTGGTCTGAGCTCCTTCTATCTTCTTCTTCTTCCTGACGCTTTTTTGACACGGTCTGTTCAATCGAGGCAACAAGCGCTTACTCAATTAAATTTGAAGCGATGTGATCCTCTTGGACGAAAATAAAAACCTCTTATAAAATCTACGCTATCCATCTGACCTTATATTCCAAAACAAACCACATCCAAGCAAACTAATCAAGGAACCTAGAGCGTCTGGTGTCTCTGTCGCCCATGTCAAAGCACGCAGCAAGGGGGTGGGTTACGCCATCCTCTTACTCCACGTTACAACCTACTCTATCAAAGACAAACATTCCAATCTTCAACAGTACTGCCGCTACTATCTCCACCATTAAAGCTGTAAAACTGAGCACCCAAGAAATTCCAGCATCTCGTTGCAGAGCGAGGAGAAGACCAGTGAGATACGAGGATGAAGACGAGGATGATAGAGAAGAAGAATATGGATATAATCTGGAGATTGCAATGTTGGAATTTTACAGTCAGTCAGCAATAGGCGAAGCCCTTCTTGTGCGTGCGGTTGTAGATGAACAGGAAGTAGAGGTGCTCATCTTTAAGGTAATTATTAGTGCTTAATCTTGTGATTCTTGTTGTCCTTCTTCCTTTTCCCCGTGTGAGGATTGTTTTCATGGAGGGTATCATATATGGGAGCATGTGGCTTGAAAAATCGTCCTGAAATCTTCGAAATTGCACATGTCGCGAATTTCTTGGACTTGAATTTTTATTGATCCAGAAGGAAGTCTGGTAAAAGTAAAATTGTTCAAGAATCTATTAAAAAGAATTGCCAGGAAAAAAGAACCCCATAGCAAACATATATACTTGTCGTTTTTCTTTTTGAAACAAATAAATGTTGAAAAATCGGTGGGAAAGATAAATTGTGCACGAATTTTAAGGACGGACAGTTACTCTACCACGTGATTTGCTACTGAATTGAATGGCAAATTCACTTGTAAGATACAACAAGACCATCTGAAATTTGGTGGATAGCAAGCCCTGGGTTTTCTTAGAAAACGTTTAATGGAGATTAAGAATTAACGACAACAAAAGAATGGTTAAATGTTAACGTTGCAGGGGAAGGGGTAAAGAAATTTTGAGAGATTTTAATTTAATCTTTGCTCATCTCCTCCCGTTTTTGACCCCGAATACAAGTTATTTATTACTTTATAATTATATTTAATTTAAATATTAATTTAATATTTTTTTTAGATCCATTGTTATCCATAATTTTTCTACCTCCTATCAAACCTTAACGCTTCATCCCTTGACTCTCTCTTTTTTTTAAAAAAAAAAATACCATTAATAACATTGTGTTTCTTGTTTGTAACCTCAGGGATTCTCTTCATGCCTTAGCTACGGGACTTCACCAGATCCATCAAGAAGTGTTCTTCCAGCAAGGGCAGTGATAAAATCCATAGACAGAATCAAAGGTCCTTTCAACCCCTCTAATATAGAGTATCTAGAGAAGGACCTAACATGGGAAGCCTTCAAGAGCCGTCTTTCTCCTAAATGACATTTTGGAAAGTATTTTAGAATTTCTCATTTTCATAATGGGCCATCCTGAAACCGCATCATCCATTTAAGAAAATTATCAGTTTGACAATTAATTTCGTGGGCACGAGGAAAGTGGAATCCATATCCGGTCGATGATCTCAACATTTTGTTTAATCCTGATTCAACGCTCTCACCCTTGATCAGATTTCTTTAATTTGTTTGGGAAAAAATGCACTGTTAGGTGACAAAATGGGTTGATTTATGCTAGAGTCTTCCATCATATGATCTTTGAGCATTGGCAGACAATTCATTAACATGGGAACAAAGAAAATTAATGTGGCATTCATTTTTCTATATTATACATATATATCCTCTGCTAGCATTACGTCGAAAACAGAGAAATATAGAGTGAAACAGATCAGAGATATGGAGGAGGAGACAGAGTAACACTACGTGGAATGTGGGCTGGTAATTACTGTAAGAAGGTGGAAATGGCTCTCAAAATTAAAGGCATGCCTTATGAGGACGAGGAAGAGGAGTTAAGGAACAAGAGTCCATTGCTCCTTCAGTAAACTCCTGTTTTCAAGAGAGTGCCTGTAATAATTCATAATGGGAAACCTGTGATCGAGCCCCTTGTTATACTGGGAATATACCGACGAGACCCGGAAAAATACATCAAGGCTTCGGCCCGTTGATCCTTATCAAGGAGCCAAAGTCCGCTTCTGGGTTAGTTTTATCCAATAACAGGTAAATAAAGCATATTTTAATTTAATTTTCATTGCAAGCCAATGCTAGAATATATTGATACTGACAAGTTAATCAACGCGCTATTTGAGTCCATGGGTAAGGTTATCATGAGCGATGAAGAAGCACAAGAAAAGGCAGTAGAGGAAGTGCAGGAGAAAATGAAAGTATCGGAGGAGGGCATTAAGGAATTCTCTGCGGAGGACATTCGGACCAGTGATGGTAAAAAACTGGGATTCATGGACGTTCTGGTGGGTACAACATTTAGCACCTACAAAGTTTATGAGGGAGTCCTCGGTGTCAAAGTTCTTGAGCCAAAAAAGAATCCTCTGATATACACACGGGTGACAAATTTGCATGAGCTTCCTGTGGTGCAGGAGTTGCTTCCTCCTCACGACAAGCTAGTTGCAATTCTGCAGGGTATTAGGCAGAATGCACTCAAATCTTCTAATTAACTATTAAGCTAGCAATCTGGCACTAGGGAAAAAAATAAAAAAGGAGCCGGTACCGTGTGGGAGCTTTTTCGGCTTGGTGTTTCGATTAATAAGCTTGTACTATTGATCATCCATGGCGGTTGTGGATTCCAGCAGGCAACGAATTGGAGTCCAGGGCTGGGGCTTTTATCATGGGCAAACCAATTCTATGTATTGCAAATGAAGGGTTACCTAAGAAGCAGATCAATTCTGTAACTTAAATGGACCTCGCTTATCAAATGATGCTTGCTTTTGGTTTAAGCTTGCCATATATTTTGTTGCTTGTGGCTTTTAATCTTTTATTCTGCGATAATGAGTTGCTATGAAAATGATTATGGATGCTAAGAGACATTAAACATTCAGTTAGCTCTTGAACAAGGGCATCTTTTGTATAGTAATTTAACCGTGTTTCTAAGATTCAGTTAGCTCTTGAACAAGGGCATCTTAAACATTCGTGTTTCTAAGTTTTTTTTTTTGTTTTAATTTTTTTATATAATTTTAATGTGTTAATGCTAAAAATAAAATTTTAAAAAATAAATAAAAATAAAATTTTAATATATTTTTAAATAAAAAATATTTTATAAATTAAAATTTATTACACTAAGATTACATGTTATGTCTCGAGTTATGTCCAAAAAGAAAAAAGAAATTATTATGATAAATTATTTATTATTATATATATTTATTATATTATTTAAAAAAATATAATAAATTTATTGTTTATTATACATATTCATTATTATGGAATCGAGGAAGTATTATTTTATTGTTTGCTTATTAGACGGAGTATAGATATGGGAGAAAGGAAGAATTGAATAACGGTGCCGTTTTTACTTTTATCTTTTTGCATGGATAGTGTTTTTGTATTTTTTTTTATTTATGAATTTTACTTTTAAATACCCACTTCCGCGTTAAGAACTTACATGTCAATCTCCTACATATTTAACCAATAAGAATAGGTTAGTGACTCTTAGCTATTGTTTTTTATGGATTTTTTTTAATACAAACTTTTTAATGAATTTTACTATTATTTTCTGTATTTTGTTAATGTTTTTTTTTATTTTTGTCTTATTTTGATAAATTGTATTAAAGGTGTAGAAATTAGTATGTTGATAAATAAGATAATCATTTGAAAAATAAAACTGAGTTAACGGCATATTTTATCTTTTTATTTTTATTTTTTTACTGATTAAATGTAAAAAACAAAGTAAAAAAACAAAAGAAAAAGAAAAAAACACATCAGTAAGAACAGGAATGATGGGAGAAAGAGGTAAAGGTAATCATTTTCGGTTCGATTCGGTTTTTAACTATAAAAAATAACCAAATTGGTTTTTTTTCTTTTAAAAAAACCGAATCGAATTAAGTCAAACCGATCGGTTTCAGTTCGGTCTAGTTCTTGATTTCAAAAAACCAAGAAAACCTATATGCTCATATTTCTCCTTGAACTCGTCAAATAAGATATCTTTTCACTACCATTGTTTTCCCTGTATTGTGCAAACGAATTAAAAGCCAAAAAATCAACACCGCTGATTTCATCTCAAATCCAAAACTCTGTTATAAATCAAAACTCTAAATTTTCAGGCACTAAACTTCCATAGAAGTCATTGAAACTGAGCCTTACATTATTCAATATAAAATGCAGAATCATGAAGCAAGCAAAACAATTATTAAGATACCAATTATAGTTTGACACCAATAAAGATATTCATCTTATTCATATAAACAAATCTTTTCATGATTCATCGAAAAGACTACTAACAATAATATTTTATATGTAATGTTGGTTAAAGTTCTTATAATTTACTAGAGATGATGGTTTTTGTAATCATATAAGTTACAACAGATAAATTCATGTTTAAAGCAAATCTTCTAAGTCTAGAGGGAGAGGACTATAGCTAGGATTACTGGAGAGAGAGTGAGAGGGAGAAGAAGAAAAAGAGTGAAAGGGGCTATGGTTAGGGTTAATAGGAAGGGAGGGAGTAATTTTTTTTATTTATATTGTTTTTTTTAATTGATTCAGTTTGGTCCGGATTAATCAGTTTCTATATTATAAAACTAAAAACTGAAACAAACTAAAAAAATTTTCTGAAACAAACTAAAAAAAATTTCTAACTATTTTAATTGATTTATTTTTTTTCTCGATTTAATTTTTTCAATTAATTTTTTCTTGGTCTTCCCAGTTTATTTGATTTTCCTGTTTTTAGCACACCCCTAGGAAGAGGTGATCCCATTCCCGCCAGATAAATATCTGCTGCACTTGTGGGTGACGTGGAGGCTAAATGGTGGCAGTTAGGTCCTAGATATTTTTGTTTCCAAGATATTTATATACCACACGTTTCCATCACTGAGCCGACGTGGACTTGTATTCTTCGTTAAAGTCCTCGCCTATTCCTTAAACTACCAAACTGCCATCCTAGTGATTGACATTTTTTCCAACGTCAAACCACCATTCATTGACAGAAATAATTATTTTATAGTGTTTATTAAAAAAATAACGTTTTTAATTTTATTACTGACGTTCTGTTTGAAACGAACCCTCATGATTTCATTAAAGAAAGGTTTTTATTTCCAAAATATGTATGATATTATAAATATTTAGTGACACATGATGTTGTATAACATTGTCATGTGTTAGGCTAAAAAAAATCCTTCTACCACAGATAAATAAGCAAGAACTTACTATTTTCTCTTTTATAATAAAAGTGGCCATATTATCAAGTTATTAAGATTAAAAAAAACATGGTATTATACCTTCTTAATTTATTGAATTTAAGGATGTTAATAATTTTAATTATCAAACAATAAAATCTAAATAAAAAAATATTTTTTTCACAAAAGAAATTGATGAAAATATATAAATTAATTTCCTATAAATGTACAAGTAACTTTTATTTATTCATGAATTATACAATAGAAAAATTCATCAATGTATAAATAACAATACATTTGACGTTATTTGTGCATGATTATGAGACAAAGTTAAAAAGGTTCCCTTTAAATATATCAAAATAAACAGAAATTGAACAATAAATTTGATAATAATAGTACAGAAAAAAAATGTTTTAAGATTAAAGTTGTCTTGTAAGGTTAAAATGAATATTTAAAAAAAAATAGAAAGAAACATTTAAGGAAAGAGAAATCGATGGCATTTTAGGAAATGAAGGGAACGAAGAGGGCCATTGTGAGTAGCGAAGTAGCAATAACACAAATATCTCGAGTAGCAGAAGAGAAGCACCGAGACTCCACTTGCACGCTTCAGTTCAATTCAACTTCCGGTTCCAATCCTCACAGCAAGAGTCTTTTCCTTTTCTCTGATCTTTCTTCTTTCGTTTTTCCACGCACACAGAGGGAGAGTGAGGGGGAGACAGAGACCATGTCAAAACCTCAAGAAGAAAGGGATGAGGAAGAAGAAGAGTTGCAAAGCTCTGGTAAAAGGCTGAAATGCGCCAAATCCTTCAAAGAAAAAGGGGAGGAGGAGGAGGAGGAAGAAGAAGAGGAAGAATTGGAAAGAGAGGTCTCATTAACGGAGGACACAAGAGGAGGGTTGTTTTTCTACCCAACGAATCCCACATCTTTTGTAGTTTCGGATGCTTTAGAGCTTGATTTTCCTATCATTTATGTCAACAAGGTCTTCCAGAACTTCACTGGCTATCAAGCTCACGAGGTCCTCGGTCATAACTGGTACTTTTTTTAATTATTCTTTCATTTTTCATTTTACGTTTTACGTTTTTCAATACCTCCTACTCTTTTCTTTCTTTCTTCTGTTTTTTTTACTTGAAACAAAGAAAAAAGAATATTTTAAATTCCAATTACTTTGTTCGTTTTATTTCAATGTCGGTACTCTTGTTTGGTTGGTAGAACAATGGGGAAATTATGTGATTTCGTTTTGAATGATGACGCTGGGCCTATTACCATTGTTGCTGTTGATTTCTAGCTTGTTTGGCTGGCGAGGAAAAAAAATTAAGGATAGGTAAAAAAAACAGTCTATTTTTCTACAAGTGATTTTGATTCCGATAAAGAGGAAGAATGGAATAATGGCCCGAGACATTTTTTTATTTTTTTTTACTGGGACGAGGAGATGGGATCATCTTAAACTCCTTTTGTCATAGGTCAATGGAAGGAAGAAAATTTAGAAGAACGAGGTTACTCGTGAGATGTTCTTTTTTTTTTTTAAACTTAGGATTCTTGAAAAGGTTATGTTGCCTGATTGTTATGTTGTGAGCAAGAGACAGTTTTAAGTTTTAATGATTTACTTATTGTTGAGGTGCGACTTCATAGCTCTTGCTTATAATTTTTGTGCTTCTGGAGATTGTTTGGTGGTCTTAGAGAGCTAGGGGCAATGGGATGCTGTTTAAATAGAAAAGGATAGGCTTCAAAGTTTGGTTACTCGTATTCAGAATTAAGTTGTTGGTTTTCTGAGGTGGTCCTCTTGGCACCTTATTTGACGAATTCTCATCTTGCTGATTTTGTTTTTCCCTGGTTTAATTAAACTTGTTGATCACTTGGAAGGAGTAGTATACTGAGTTTTGGTTGGCCACTGTGATCCCTCTTGGCTTTCTTTTGTGATTTGCACCACGTATGGCTGATATCCTGACTATGTTTTCCAATTCCGATGTTCATTTGCAACGGATATCTACCAGTTAGCCCGCCTTTTAAGTGCAGCTATTCAGGTTTTGTTTGTGTTTTTGCTTAGAGTTTTTATATTTGATTAGTTTTCCATGAACGTTTTTTAAGGTGCAGTTTCAATGTTCAATATTTTTGCTTCCGTGATTTTTTCGTACTGAGATTTTTCGACGGGGTAAGGGATCGATATTGACTGCTTTGGAAATTATTTCTTTTCAGTCGGTTCTTACAATACAGGGATCCTCGTGCTCAAAGAAGGCATCCTTTAGTAGATCCTGTTGTTGTTTCTGAAATCAGAAGATGTCTTGAGCAAGGGATGGAATTCCAAGGTGAACTTCTAAACTTTAGGAAGGATGGTACTCCACTGGTGAACAGGCTCAGACTTGTACCTATACACGATGATGATGGAATTATCACACAGGTAATAGGTATTCAGGTATTTTCTGAAGCCAAAATAGATCTGAACCATGTATCATATCCAGTCTTCAAAGAGACTTGCAACCAGCTGTCTGATCAATCAGCTAATTATTCTCTTCCGCGTGGACAATCAACATTCACTGGGCATCCAGAAATATGTGGAATACTTCAGCTGTCTGATGAAGTATTGGCTCATAACATTTTATCACGCTTGACGCCAAGGGATGTTGCATCCATTGGATCAGTATGCAGAAGAATCCGGCAATTAACAAAAAATGAACATGTAAGGAAGATGGTTTGTCAAAATGCATGGGGAAGAGAAGTCACTGGTGCATTGGAGCTGATGACTAAAAAGTTGGGCTGGGGGCGTCTGGCAAGGGAACTAACTACGCTTGAGGCTGTGTGCTGGAGGAAACTGACAGTTGGAGGAGCTGTTGAGCCTTCACGCTGCAATTTCAGTGCATGTGCAGTAGGAAATAGACTTGTATTGTTTGGAGGGGAAGGGGTAAACATGCAGCCATTGGATGACACGTTTGTTCTCAATCTGGATGCTGCAAATCCAGAGTGGCAGCGTATTAGTGTGAAATCATCCCCACCAGGGCGCTGGGGCCACACTCTTTCTTGCCTCAATGGTTCCTGGTTGGTGGTTTTTGGAGGATGTGGTAGGCAAGGGTTGCTCAATGATGTTTTTGTCCTGGACTTGGATGCCAAACAGCCTACTTGGAAGGAAGTTTCTGGCGGAACTCCCCCTCTACCTAGATCATGGCATAGCTCTTGCACCATAGAAGGTTCTAAGCTGGTTGTCTCTGGCGGATGTACAGATGCTGGGGTACTTCTCAGTGACACCTACATGTTGGATCTCACTACAGACAAGCCGATGTGGAGAGAGATCCCAACTTCCTGGGCACCACCATCTCGATTAGGGCATTCACTCTCAGTTTATGATCGGACAAAAATTCTTATGTTTGGTGGACTTGCCAACAGTGGACACGTACGACTGAGATCAGGCGAGGCCTACACCATTGACTTGGAGGATGAAGAACCACAATGGAGGCAACTGGAGTACAGTGCATTAACAGGCATTGGGAGCCAGAGTTCTGTTGTCCCCCCTCCCAGACTAGATCATGTTGCTGTTAGCATGCCCTGTGGAAGGATTATAATCTTTGGTGGGTCTAATGCTGGGCTGCACTCTCCTTCTCAGCTTTTCCTGATGGATCCTGCTCAGGAGAAACCATCATGGAGGATTCTCAATGTTCCTGGTCAACCACCAAAGTTTGCCTGGGGTCATAGCACCTGTGTGGTTGGAGGGACTAGGGTCCTCGTACTGGGGGGGCACACTGGGGAGGAATGGATACTAAACGAATTGCATGAGTTGTGCTTAGCAAGCAGGCAAGACTCAGAACCATGATTAAACAATGAGCTGTCCATATTACGATTGACACAAGTTTTGCACCAGCCACTCCGGAAAACTCTGTTTTATGACCCATGACATTTACAAGGTTCTTCCGCTCCATCACATCTTTCAGCATCACCGAATACCTGCCCCATGCTTTTTGCTCGTATTTGTACTGTAAGTATGAAGACCACAACAATAGTCTATTTTGTGTAAACGTCTTACACAAATTCACGTTTTGCTTCTTGTGGTTGCAATCATATAGTACTCACGCATAATGACTTGTACTAGAAATTGAATGCTGGACGTAACGGGTTGTTAGCTGGTTTTGCATTATGTGCGTTTGACCATTCCTTTTCCTTTTTTTCTATTGCATGAGCATGCTGGTGGTTGACTGGGAAGATTATTTTTCACCATTCCTTTCCCTCCATGTACAAAAGCACTTCTGTGTCCTGATTCGAGTAAAAAAAATATAATATGCATTATAATATAGCAAAATGCCCCCTGAGAACATTGATTTCAGGTCTTGTAGTAGATATTATTTAGAAATCTATTAAAATAATATTTTTTTGAAAGTGCAGTAGCATACCGCCATTTGGATTCATCGACCTTGATTTAGGTGATCCATTTAGTTTGCAGTAGTAAATTAGAATCATCATTATTATGATACCATTTCGCATAGTTCAAATAGAGTACAAGCATCCGTGGTTGCCAGATAGACGCTGGGTTCCTAGTATTTCTAATAACATTACACCTCCTTGAGTAGGGTGGAGCACCCTGTACAGAGGCACACATCTTCCATGGGAAGAGACTAGCTCTATCAAGCGTATGGCTTAGTTATCAAAATACAGCCCCCCACCTAAAGTTGAAGAGAAGATCTCCTTTCAGCTTCAGCACAGCAACCACCCGTGAAATCCTGCAGTTTAAATAGTATAAAGAATTAACACAACGAGGTTGTCAAATCTACAATGATGTTGAGGTGATTTACTTTGGTTTTTCATCAACTTGCATACCAATTTTGCAAGTTCTCTGCTTCATCAAAAAAGAGGAGAAAGGACAAAGTTATGCCGTATGCGTTTGTGTGTTTCAATTGAAGCTAAGGAGACGGAATTATCCTATAATTCACTTGTGTAAACTTGATGTAGGTCTTGCTTCAGACCAGAACCAGAAATATATCAGAAAGGAAAACACGAGTTATAAATGATGCAAGTTAACGAGATTAAGAATTACAACTGGAATCTTTATCTTTTTATTAATCCAAGAACGCTGCTGGGCATAAATCATGGTAAAATTTCAGCAATCAACAGCTCTGAGACAATTAAACTAGTCATGCGACCATACATTCTTTCTAACTTATAACTTGAATGTTCCAAGGGATCTGCACATTCTGAATTGAGAAGTAACCTTTTGATGCACTAAAGTTGCCTCCACAGAATGTTCACAGGAGACAAATTGCCTTTACTGCAGTTGCTACGGAGAGCATGTATATTTTGTTGATTCACTGTAAGTATGCATGCCTCCAAGACTTCACGAAGTACAAATTGCTACAAACTCCCAGGAATCCAACGACAGACCCTATTGTCAAACCTTAATAGAACCAATGTGCTTCCTGCTCGTCATTAATCTTGTACTTGATTCGTTCTTGACCTTCAGAGGTTGAGTCAACTCCTGGGCAACTCTTTAGCGGAGGTCCACAAAGTCCATTGTTGCCTATATAGATGGATTTATCATCCAAGGTTTGAAGTTGGTTCCCAAATGGAATATGACCTGATAGGTTATTAAATGACAAGTTCAAGTAACTTAAATAGTTCAAAGAAGAAATGCTAGGGGGAATTGACCCTGACAACTTGTTTCAAGACAAATCAAGAGATTCCATCATTTTCAAATTGCCAATGTTCGAAAGGGATTCTGCCCTGCAACTTGTTTCTAGACAAATCCAGATTTTGAAGCCCTCCAAGACTTATCATCTCTTTTGGAATCTCTCCAAACAAATTGTTGCTGGAAATGTCAATGGAAAAGAGAAATTCAAGTGTCTTGGTATATCAAGCTCCCTCCCTTTCAATGAAACCACAGCATTCTCGTTATATTCTCCTGTATAAAGCCAGTGTTCAGCTATTCTAGCCTCTCCAATCGTAGCAGAAAAATTGCTGAAACAGTGAGGAATGGTTCCACTGATCCTATTCCTCGCCAAGTTCAGCACTCGAAGTTGAGAGAGGTGGCAAAGCTCTAGAGGAATCTCGCCATCAAACTCGTTAGAATGAATGATTAGTATTTCCAGAGAGAAGAAGGAATAGGGCCAGTAAATGCATTCTCACCTAGATCGAGGGTTTCCAAGTATCTCGGCTTCATCAATAATGCAAGGAGCTATCCCTGAAAACTGTTTCTTTGCAAATGTAAAGATCAGAGAATTTGTACAGAACCCAAAGAACTAGCAATAAGGCCACTCAGATTGTTATATGAAAAATCTATCACCTCCAGACTACTGAACTATTTCTAACACCCAGGAAGTCTCCCAGAGAGCTGATTTTTGGAGAGATCAAGAATCTGCAAGTCCTTCATCTTGCATATAGAAAATGGAATACTTCCATTCAACTTTTTGCCAAAGAGGCATAGTTCATGCAATATGGCGTCTTCAGGAATCGAACCAGACAAGAATTATTGGAAAGATCGAGCATGAACACACCAGGTGGGGTGGTTGCTAAAGGCCCCTCAAATTTGTTGCCCATCAAATGTATGTTCCTAACAATAGCAGAAGATTTTCTCAGCTTTGGTAGACCCCTTTCTAATATGATTGTAAGATAGATCAAGCCAGAAAATACTGGACGAATTTTTTTCAAACCAATCAGGGATGGTATCAAATATGCTTGCATTAGACATCTCTAAAAATCGAACATCCTTTTGAGTTTGAAGCCATTGTGGAAACTGAGGTCCCAATCTGCAAGATGACATTGCAATACCTTGAAGCTGAAATGGAGGCGCCCATGCTGGGCGAAAATCTATAACAAAAGAATTTGAAGACAAGCTCAGCTCCTTTAAACGCCTTAAGTTTGCAAAGTGAACTTCAGGTACCATGCCATCCAATGAGTTGTCATGGACATATAAAACCTCCAGATTTGAAAGCTGCCCAAGACTTATTGGAATGCTAACATTCAAATGATTACGACCGAGACTTAACTGTCTTAAGGATGACAGTCTTCCTAGTGACACTGGGGTCGGACCTTGAAACGAGTTTGATTCGAGATTGAGGTATTCTAGATGCTTAACCTGTCTAAGTTGATATGGCAAATAGTCAGTGAACTAATTTGATCCGAGATTCAACATCTTCAAACTAATATGAATGCATCCAGATGGGCTACACAGATTTGTCAGCATATTTTGTATTTCACCCTCAAGATTATTCCCATGTAGGTCAAGCCCTTCAAGGAATTTACAACTGCTAACCACACTAGGAATGGAGCCATTAAAATCATTTTTACTAAGATCAAGATGTTGAATGTTGCTGAAGTTAAACAACCAAGGAGGAATTGCAGAATCAAAGCCATTCTGACTAAGATCAAGCAATTCAAGAGATGTGAAATTAACTTTCAGAAATTGAGGAATGGTTGGGAGATGACAACTGGACAAGTGTAATTATAGCAGAGAAGGAAGCATATTTATGGAATGCAAACAGTTATTGTCCTTTGGAAGGTTTGAACCAGACAGGTCCAAGTATTTTAAGGAAGAAAGAGTATGTGTCCATTGAAAGTTGTCAGAAGTCAAGGAATTTGATGGAGCATAGAAAGCTGAAGAAATGCCAAGATCAAGATACTGCAAACTTGAATAGGTTTACAAGATGAATGGGAAGCTTTCCTACGAAACTCGCAGATGAAAGGTTTAGATATTTCAATTTTGTCAAGGAACATATAAAATCAAGAAGAGAAAACGTTCATGCTCAGGTCTAGAAACTCCAGATGCTTAAAATCAAGAAGAGAAGGGTTTATATCACCTTTCAAGTAAACGCTGCTATAATTTCCAGGATAGAAATCAAAATAGGGAATGTCTAGCTGAAACTGATTTCGAAGATCAAGCTTGACAACATTCCTATTAGTCTTGCAGCAAACCACTCCTATCCATGGCGACAATCGGTTTGAATGATCCATAAGACTTCCCTTGAACTGAGAAGCGCCTTAAGTTCATTTGGAATGCAGCTCACATTTGCAAAAGTGCTGCTACTGCCGCGACAATGCTCAAGTTTCCGAACAAAGATCACCACAGGAAAAAACAGGACATTGGTGGTCGCTGTTCCCATTGCTTCGCCTGAAGTTCAATAATTTTGAACAATTTACGTACCTTTTCACTGTTACCCCATCACTGATCCTATATTATCCATAATTCAAGAGGAACGGCCCCTGACTTTAAATAGTCAAAATCAATCCTCTTGGATCCTGCTGCTTTTCGTGAGCCCCATCATTCCATTAGTGAAGTCACTGTATTGATTGCATTCTAGTGAAGCAGCCAAGGTTGCAGACTCTGATCGTTGACTGTTTATTTGGTATGGATAGGATTGCATCAACGATTCATGGTTCTTCAGGTCATGGAAGACTGACCAGACAAGCTATGCATAAATCCTAAGCATTAATTTATTTGGTATGGCGTTTTTGCTCTAAATCTTCTTTCTAAGTTTCTAGGAAACATTGATCTCTATGAAAAATGTGTTAAAGGATGAAATTGTTTTCTCCAAACCACTGTTGTTTTTAAAAAAGAAAAAACAAATATTGAAATTTTCTGATAATTCAAAAACACACTTTCACAGATTCCCACGTAGAAAAAGACACAGTAGGCGATATACGGGGTTCGATTGTTTGAGCTTTGTGAAGTTAAAAAGTGTTGCTTGTTCATTGTAGTTGATGGATTTAGATGGAGAAACATTAGCAAACACTGAGTAGAAGGCAAATAAGACTGGTTAATTGACTTAATTCTGGAGTTTAGGATCGAAATTGAAAATTGGATTAAACGCTAGTCAAATCTCGTACTGAATATGATTATTATGTTAAAGAACACGAAGCAAATCCAATTATACGAAAAGAAATTCTATCATACAATGCATAGCGTACACTCTTGCATTGTTAGCGAGTACAAAAGGAATACGGATTCAGTTGTATCATCAACGTATAAATCTATCCTGGAATGTGCACAAGTAGTGTTTCATTCTTGTCAAACAGAGTACAATGAGAATGCCAAAGTAGAAAATCTAGCCTGCTATGTTTATGGGGGGGAAGAAAAGCCGTATAGTGTGCGCCACAATATCTATCATTTCCAGGCCACTGAATCAATCTCGTCCCTAGCTGACTTGTATAGCTCAAGCCTTTTAGCTATGGTTGCTCTCCTTTCCATGAGTTGTGGATCCGCGTCCAACATTGCACCAAGCCGCTCCTTCTGCAAGGAATCCAGGACCACGTCGTCACTTTTCATAGAATTCATTCCTCTCTAGACATAAAACAACAAGGACCTCACAACCCAGAGCTCCGAATGCCTTATCAAAAAGATTTGGGGTGCTGCTAAATTTGTTTTACTCTATTCCAGCTTAATTTACTCATCATTAATGGTGACATGGAGATGTTACAATTGTCATTTAAAAAAAGAAGAAGCGGGAATAACAAGTTTTGTAGGATTTATAAGCACCGCTTAATTAATTACCTTCCTTTCTATCTTTCCCCGGAAGCAATCAATCAAGCTTTTGGTCGAAGTAAGGAGGGTACAATAACCTAAGAAAAGCGATAAAATTCCATCCTAGTCTGATCATTAAACTGATGAGCTCAACCCAATGTAATCAAAAGCACAAACCATGACGAATCCATGGTGAAAAGAAATTTTCATGCACGAGGTAAAAATACTGGAAATAAGTAGAAGGGAAGTTCAGTGGCACCATTCACATTTTCTAAAGGTTAAGATATCATTTCTATTACATGTAATACATGAACTTAAACTAACACCATGTATGTATACAAACACGCATGCAGCACAAGTCACACCAACGTTGCAAATATCAATACAAAGTAAGTGTACCCCGATCTCTGATTTGACATAAGAAATCGACTAAAATGAAGAATTATCAGGTATTTTATGAGAAACACTTCTCCACTCACATAGAAATGGAATCCATTAATGGTTATAATGATGGGTTCCACTATCAAGTAAGAGAGGGGAGTTGTGCTCTTGGAGTACTTAATTATTTTTCAATGACCATATTTGAAGTCCTAAATGTCTTTTTGCTAGTGTTTCAGAATTCGCCAGATAATTGAATTAGGGAAGACAGTTAAAGAGTTTGAGATTGAAAACTGAATTTCTATATGTACATATGCAAGAAAAATTGGATAATTGTTCAAGTTCCAAGATTAACTGTGGAAAGGTCTGAAATCACCAAACGCTTCTCAAAACCAATCTAACTGATTTGAGGATCGAACTGGATCGGCAGCTTGATCAATTCCATGTTTCCCCGTTTGAACCGACACTAGTCAAGTTTTTATGACATTATAATCTTACTTCCCACAAGTACTAAAATTGGATCTACTATACTATAAAATAGAGGAAATGGACTTCGGCCTGATTAGATTTTCTAAAAGTGGTGAGAAGGTTAAAGTTTAATCCAACTCAATTAGGTATTTTTGAGAACACCGTGTAAACCATGTTCCAAACAATTCAAATTTGTTTTTTATTAAAATTTAATATATTTTGAATTGTTTTGATATGTTAATATTAAAAAATTTTAAAAAATAAAATAATATTATTAATATATATTTTAATATAAAAAATTATTAAAAAAACATCCACAACCCTACCCAACAGAAAGAAAACTAAATAACCGCCATACTAGGCTTGGTATGCACGAAAGTTTTTTGCATACAGATGTGGCCAGGATCAGAGAGCCACTCCTATCCAACCAGCCTTGCTAACTAACGGTTGGGCTAAAGTGTCAAATATTTTTATTTGACACTTTTCAGTTCTTTCTTTCTTTTAAATAGGTGTATCCTTCTTCATTTTGAACCACTCCTTGGACTTGTAAAACTATTCTTTCAAAGAGTTATTAATAACTTGTTGTGAAAGTCGCACTATAAATAATTAGGATTGGGTTAGAGAGAGCTTGAAAGAGAGTTCTTGTAAAAAGGTGTGGTCTTACCCTTGAAGAAGATTAAAAGAGTGAAATACAAATACCCAAGCCTACAACTTGGAGAGTGGACCAGACGGTTAGATTGAAGCCACTATAAAAATCAAGTTGTTCATATTCTTTCCCAGCTCTCCTTTATCTTCCAATCAAGTTATTTTGTGGTTGTGGTTGTGCTGTTGCTGTGGTTGTTGTTTGAAGAAAGTGTTGGCTATAGGGTTCATTTTCAAGAAAAAATAGTTTTAGTTTATCACCTAATCCACCCCTTCCCTCTTAGGTGCTCGGCGATTTCACTAAGCACAACTACTCATTTAAACTAGAGCCACCTATACGTCCTGAATTTTCGATTTTCCCTGGCTTGAAAAAACATAAGGCAGGTAAACATCAAGGAACGGAATTTCTAAATAGCTTTACCCCCTTCCTCCCAACTTGAGCGTAGAAGTTATTCAGAAGAGATCTCTTAGCCTCTCGAACCACAGCTTTTGGAATGGAGTTCCTTGTATCACAAACCATACCAATATAAGCACTGATATTGGATCCTGAAATAAAGTTTGTGATTTATCAGCAATCACGGTCCGTATGCTTTACTAGTATTTGATAATTACATCTCATTTTCTGAGAGAAGAAAAAAATTCAGAATCGAGCTTCTAGCAATACATGAACAAAACTATGCATACAGCTCTAGAATTTGCATGCAAGAAAGATCATAAACAGATTAGAAATACAGATGTTCTGATCCATAAGACTAACCTAATTGCTAAAATGAAGATCTTTAAACTAAGTGCATGGCAGTTTCCCTAAGAAAGAGGAAAAAAGGAGAGAAGGTGAAAACAATTCGAGAATTCTGTACCAATCTTCCTAAAATGATTATCATTGTAACAATCCACATTTGGGCCTGGTTGATTTGGGCTTGTGTTTGTGTTCTTCTCTGGTTCAGGGTGAAGCTTTCGGAAAAATTCCACAGTTAGATAACTAGAATCCACGTCAACCAGTCGTAGAACTGCTCTGCGGCTTTCATCAGGAAATATCTCCAAAGCTTCATTTGCAGCAGCAGCAATGTCAGATTGAAGGGTTGGGAATCGCTTCAGTTCCTGCAATGACCATGAAGTACCATTCGCTCAAAATAAAATACTTTCTTTTGATATTTGGCACCCTCAAATTCATCTATGAATGAAAACTCAAGCTTACATATGATCACGTGACTGCATTTAAATAGCAGGAAAATGTGGGATGTCATATAGTAGTTACTCCATACGATAACCCATCAGTGGTTCTCAACAGTCACCATTCAAATTCCATATTAACAATTGGCATTGCTGCCCTCAAATTGCGCGTAATAAATCTAAGCTATCTTCAAAAGGCATGCAAGCAATCTTCAAAAGGCATGCAAGCAATCCTCAAAACGAAACTAAGATAACAGCTATAACATTCAAATTCGAAAGTATAAGTCTTCCCTCAAATGGCACCCTCACATTTCAACTAGCCACTGAGATATTCTAATTTCTGGAAGAAATGGCTTCAAGGCAACATGCAACTCTCTTTAGACTGGCAGCTATTCAAGCATTTTGGCCATCCAAATAAAAGCATCATTTGCCGAATTTCAGCAAGCTAAAACTGACTGATCACTCCAGTGCATTCAAAGTACCCAAAATCAGGTCTGATTTAACTTGTTTATGTGACTTATCAAACACAGACCTACCCAATGTGCCTTGGGACTGAGTTTCATTTCACTACAATTTCAACATATTTCTTTGTAAATTTGTTCCAATGTCACATGAGCATCTCATAGTGAGTCAAATACCAATGCTGCACATGATGTGCAAGCACATAAAAGAGTTTAACTTATGTCCCTTGACATATATTTCTTTGTTATTGGTCCCTGGATTTAATTGACGATTTTCCAAAATAGGACATATAGTGAGTTCCCTTCACTTGTAAGAGAAAATAGCATTACCATTCCAAAATAAACCTTTTAATGTAGGATCAGAATTTATACCAAGGATGGGTTCAAAGACTTCTATACCAAAAAGAAAAAACTATAAGTGTTCGAACTTAGTACATGACTTCATTGGGCACTGTTAAAAAACAACGAAGACTATATTGTTTTATAAACAGTGAAATTATTACAGCGTGCACATCTGGTCACACAGAACAGATTTGAAATTCACTTACATGCAAAAAGTTGCTTGCAACTAAAGAATGCTCACCTCTGTTTCAGCTATTGACTTCCGGACAAGTTCCTTCAAAACAAAGCGCACCTAAGGAAGAGAGCATAACATAAATATTCATTTGTAAGGAATAGAAAGAAAAGATGCATTCAAGAAAAGCTGAATTTGTTCTCAAACAGGAAAAATCAAACAGATCATGCTTATATAACGGTGCATTTATGAGGTGTACTCTTGATATTAGCTCAAATTATGATTTTTGGTTAATGTAAAACAGTATTTAAAAAACCCACTCCTCTTTCCAAATAGACTCAGGTTTATTAGCCAAACTTTGATTCTAACTTCTAAGCCCATTTCTCAATTGCTTCTCCACTTCATTCTAATTATAAAGAAAATTTTCTTTCTACTCCAGGTATATAGCATGAACAAACAAACATCACCAACAGTGAAAGAAAGCTCATTCAAGTACTAATTCAAGCTTGACTAACCTACTAGGTTCAAAATGTCCTAAACTTGGTCAATCTCATTTGTAAATAATTTTTATGGCTCAAGTTAAAGTAACATAGTAGTGCAGTACAAGGGGAAATCAATCTAGTTGTACCTTAGCAATGCTGTGATATGGTGAAATCGTTACATGAATCAACAGTGAAGAAAAAGTTGACTTCTAAGAGAAACAGATATAAATGTGCCATTGACAGAAAATAAACTGCGCATATACCCATATCTTACCTGCAATATATATTTCAAAGAAAATATACAAATCTCTAAAGAGTGAGGAGGAAGGGAGAAAATTTTAAGCAAAACTATAAATTGCATGGTCAAATGCACGACACAATTCTAGAATCGTGTACAGCTGGGCCTGTATGTAAAGGAAACATAATTGTGACAAGTTAAAATTGGACAACTGAATAACATCATTTACTAAGGTATCTAAAATCCTCATAATTGTGATTTCTTACCCCTGAGATGAATAGGAACATTAGAGATTTGCTTGGTCTTCTCCGTAATGCGATCTGTTTCATCTGCAATCTCCTTGCGCACAGAAGCTACATGCATAAAGGAACCAACCAAATTAACAAGGATTTCGGCAGTGATCTGAAACCCTCCATGAACTGCGTCCCATAATTAATTTTCTATCAAAATCAGTAAGCTTCCTTTTGGGCGAATGAAGAAACTCGGCATATTAACCATCTAGGTGGTGATCAAGTGGTAAGGATTTGGAATCAAGGGGTTTGCTCCCTCTGTGGTCTCAGATTCGAGTTCTTGGTTGCTCATATGATGGCCACTAGAGGCTTACATGGTCGTTAACTTCAGGGCCCGTGGGATTAGTCGTGGTGCGCGCAAGCTGGTCCGGACACTCATATTAATCTAAAAAAAAAAAAGAAACTCGGCATATCCAGAGCCGTCTTCTATCTTATGAAGTTGCAATACCAGTGGCTCCTTGTAACAATTCCTGTGATACATAACCAACATAAGATTAGGTTGACGAATGTAATTAAAAATATTCTATTTCCTCTGTTTCTTTTAAATGTAAAAAAAAACATTGAAATCAAATGCAAATGCAAAATCAAAATCAAATCAAGTCGTCACTGAAAGTTTACAGAGTTTACCAGATCCACGAGGAAGGAAATCTCAGCCAACAACGCTTTCTAAGACTGAAGATTTTCCAGAACTCTGTATATTAACACAAAAAATACAAAAATTAATTACTCCTGCAAGAATTAAAATTAAAATTAAAAAGGCTACGAGAGAGAGGACCTGGCCACCAACAACAGCAACGGACAGAAGAGCTTCCCAGAGAGAGATGCCTTCACCGCCATAATCGCCGAGAACAGTGCAGGCTCTTTGGATTCTGTTTACCAGACCGATCAAGCTCCCCATTGTAGCCATTTTTTATTTATTTTCAACCAAAAAAAAAACAAAATGTATATTTTAGATCAGATGCAATGAGTGTGATTTTGTGCAAGAAAGAAAGACAAGAAATGTGAGAAAGATCGGTTTGAGGGTCCAAGCAAGAAAGGATGACAGGGGATGTTTGGATCAGCAGAAGAAATGGAGATTCTGTATTCGGCAAGAAGTAGATGGGGACGTGGAGTGTGAGAGAAAATGCTTAGTAAACAAACAAAACGATTGGAGACGGAGAAGGTTTAGGTTGCATCGCCATTACCACGCCAACTTAGCTTGCGCGTTTCCATTTGAATATTATACATCTTTTTCTATCAAAATATTTCTCCGTGGTAAAATTAAATTTTAATGATGTGCTTATATCCCGAACAAAGCTGGAGGGTGAATCATGCGAAATAACAAAGCTTGAGGGCTGTTAATGAAAAACACTACTGCTACTTCACTGTGAGGATAGAAGATCGATGTTGTCAGGTTAAACAGCCAGCGAAAAAAATAATAATAATTTGACTGTCTATTGGATGATATTTCCAATTGATTCTTAAATTCTAAAATCAAATCTATACATTTTCCCATCTCAACGTACTACTAATACCCTGATAGGTTCCTTAAGATGAAAAAACACTTTGCTAAACAAAATCTTTAAATTAGATTTTATTTTTTTAATAATATTACTTTGATGTGTATATTGGGCTTTCCTGTTATATTTTTAATATGCGACTCCTGACATGAGTTTACTATTGAGATAATCTTTTTGTCCATCGAAATTAATTATAAGATTTTATATATTAAAGAGTGTATGGATATAAAGCATTGTTATTATGACAATAATTATTTTTTAAATATTTTTTAAAATATATTAAAATAATATTTTTTTATTTTAAAAAATTATTTTTAATATTAGCAAATCAAAATAATTTCAAAATATATAAAAAAATTAAAAAAATTAATTTAAAAAACACTGTATAATTTAATAAATAAACATGAAAGAATCTACAGAGAAACATGTTGGAAAATCGATTCATAAATTTAATGGTGTGTATTTGATATGATGATATTTTTTATGGTTATTATTTGAAAAAAAAAAAAACATGCTTAAAAGAAGCTATAGATTGCAACTTTTTTGCATATCAAGATTTAAAGAAAAGAAATTAATTGGGGCTACGTAAAATTTAACCAGCTACTTATAAATTATAATTGAGCAAAATGCAATTTTAATAACACATCACCACGCTATAGCCAACAAGGACTGCTTTAGAACTACTACAGGTTCAAAAGAAACCAATCATGTGTTCACGAGTCAAATTCATGCAGAGTCATCAGAATCTACCCCGGAAGCTGTGAGATGTCTTTTGCTGCGGTAGAGAAATGTACTGGCATCGAGGATGCTTATGCTGCGTTACGTTTTTTTTTTCTTTTTTTTAAGGGTTATTTGCTAAAATTTATTTTTTTATTTTTAAATATATCTAAATAATTTTTTTAAAAAAATATTTTTAAAATTAATATATCAAAATAATCTAAAAATATTAAAAAAATAAAATTTTTATGATACACCATTTTAAATGCAATTCTAAACAATAGGATATAAAACTTTATCTGAGATGAACGAGTCCAAGACTTTGATCATGAGCAAGATTACTTTTTAGTTAACTTGAATTAATCATGTATTTATTTATTTTATTTTATTTTCTTAAAAAAATCCAAAATAATGTAGCTTCCAGCTCTAAAAAAAAGACATTTTTTTGTTTTATTTAGAAAAAAATGATACGGTAGAAACCCAGGTCAAGAAGTCATTGAATTGACTAATGCCGTCTAATATGAAGATAATAGATACTGTTGAGATGATACCGTCTAATATAAATAAAATTTGAATTTTTTTGAGATCATACCCCTCATAAATTTTTTTAAGATCTAAGCACCATGATGTAAAACCTTAAACAAATTCTTCCTACCAAGAAATTCATTCATCTACAATTGCAAGCATCTCACAACCCTACCTCTTCAATCAACGTTATCTTCAAATAAATTAACTCTTGTTGGGCTATATATTAAGGACTTTATCATGGCGCAGGTTCGATTCATATAACACACACACACACTAATTGTTTTTTAATCATGTTTCTTTGCATTTTTCATGTTTTCCATGAGCAATTATGTCCTTTCAATTAAAAAAAAAAAAACAGACAAACAAAAATATATTGTGTTTTTTCATTATAATTACAAAGCACGAGTATTTCAAGTCTAAGCCGCTCACTTATGCCTCGAGCACCGATTATGATTTTACCAAAGCATACTTTTTGACCAAGACGAGCTATTTTGAGAGATGATTCGAACAGAAAATAAAAGCGCGAGCTCAGTTATAGATTTATAAACAACAATAAACTATAGATGAATAACACAGCCACAAGATCTGAATTTGATCTGATTAAAACAATATTAACAAACCTGGACCGATAACAATCACACTAGCAGCCGAATACAAATAATAAACTGCAAAATGGTAGACCACATAAAACCCAATAAGCTACCTATACAGCCACACAACCACTGTTCACTCAAAATAAAAACCTGAAAAGGTTAGCCCAAAGTCACTATCTTCTTTTCCATCATTATGCTGATCTCTTAAAACAGAGGGAATAACAAGTCTATGTCAGATGCATACCGATTTCATCCTCCAGTAATTTTCTCTTCCTGAATGTACTTTCCTTGACAATTTCAGCGGAGCACAGGGTCATCGGCATGCCACAGTTACAATTATATAATCAATCACAGGAGAAGGGAAAAATATAGAATATAAAAAAGGACCAAGACCTATGCAGTTACTCCTTGCATCCTGGGGTGCGGATTATTGTCATTGAGTGCTGCGTGTCATCCCGCTACGTGATACGTTTCTGCACAAAATATGAGGATCTCTCTAAGACAAATAAATACTTAACCATCCCACTTCTCTTAAAATACTAATTTTTATGGCACTGTTTACCAGGTGGGATGATTGAAATCATAAAGTTAATTATCGTCCAGGAAAAAAAAAATTCCCTGTACTGACACCATCAGAAATTTAATCATAAACCACAAGATGCCAGATTCCTTTTGACATGGTCCTAGACAACCTTGTCAAGAATCAAACTGAAATACCCATCAACTAAGGGAGGATATCAGAAGGCTAGCAACCAGTTACTGTGTCTACCTCAAAATTCTACTCTGACAGTCCATGGTTTACTGTAAATTGAAACCAAGAAACACACACCAGCTATTTTCCTCTACTTAGGCACTCAATGCTCTAGATTTAATTTCTAAACAACAGTAAAGAACATAGGCAAATTCATAGTTCATTGTCCTCCATTTTAGTTGCTTCAAACTATATAAACAACAGGCCAGGATATTGTTGACTGGTAAAGGCCAATGTTTATTTAATTTTTGCAACTCATTTACATAAGTGCACACACATACACATGCATAAAATTGCAAGCAGTAGCGAATGGGACAGAAAACAAGAGGCAGGGAAGAAAGCTATTAAAAAATAGGCATAGATCTTGGTTTGGTTAAAATTTAGCCTCATTTCTTGATTTTCTAGGCATGCCATTGTGCAGAAAACAAAACTTAACTGTAATTCCTCAAGACACTCAACTAGATCTCAAGCTTAAATATTTGTTACTGTAAGAAATAAAGCATGACTCAAGCACATAGAAACTACAGGGCCTGCTGCTTGCCATTCAATCCCTATTTGCATGTTCTTATCACTTTTGACATGAATTTTCCCAGCATGCATTATTGAAAGGATGGATTGACATAAAATATGACTATCTACTATATTTTTTTAAAAAAAAAAAACATGTTAAGGCACTAAAACAAGATATTGAATGAAACAGAAATTTGAAAATTATTTTTCAAAAGGGAAAAAGTTTGAAACTTATAACACAGCTGCTAGCTCCTAGTTAAGGAAAAAAAGTAAACACCATCACAAATCACATTATGATACTCTAGTTTAGTCCAATGCATGGATCATTTTTTTAAAAAAAAGAAATTGAGCTCAGAGTCTAAAGCAAGTACCTCCCAGGAAGCATCTGAGTAGCACTTACAGGCCCTTTCGAATTACTAAACCGCTTTGCCCTATTCTCATGTTCTTTCTCTACACGCATGGCAGCAACCTCCTTCTCCATTACAGCTACTTCTCTTCTCATCTTCTTTGCCTCAACTTCCATTGCCTTGGTTAATGTCTCCACCTTCTTCGCTAACATCTGTAAAATCAACGATCATGACAAAATATTAAGCAGAAGCATAAACAACAAGAGAATAACACAGACAAGACAAAAATATCAACCTCAATTGCATCATCCTTATCTTTGAGGCTTTGATCTTTTTCATGACCAGCTTTCCTCAAAGCTACGACCTGTTTTTGCAGCAATTCATACAATATTCCAGGGACACTATCCTCTGTATCTGCCTGTGGGAATTCATTGGGCTTTTCATCCGAGTTTCCTTTCCATGGACTAGGTGTCTCTGTGTCCTTTGTTCCATCACGAGGTTGGTTGAATGAATGATTTTGGCCAGCCCCATTTAAGAGCAATTTACTGCTCCTGTCCAAGGATCTTGTGCCCCCATCAAACGACTTTGATGTTCCTTTAGCATGCTTCAGCACTGAAAGAGTGCTAGAGGACAAAGATCTTGACTGAGTTCTCTTGGACAAAAAGCCATTGGAGGTCAATTTTGAGATGTTATCAGCACCACCTAAGGACTGCCGACGAGAAGGCCCATTGCTTATACCCCTTCCCTCTGGCATACTACGATTATTACTTGAAGACCCTCTTAGGCTCTCTTCAAGCACTTTAAGACGCAGCTGATATTTCTCCTGAAAAAGGCCAAGAGCATAGCTTACTTCCAGAACAAGGAGATGAAACAAGACAAGCAGCAAAAAATCCTCAGCTGAAAAAAATCAAATCCTCACTTTCAACTGTGCTTCTGACTTTGCAGTCCTCTCTGTTATAGCAAGCTTGTCACGAAGTTGCTGCATTTCTCCCTGTCATAATAGTGTCATCTAACATTGGTGAGGATTGAAAAGTGCAAGGCATTTTACGAACAAAGAAACTTCCAAACAGAGCTTAAACAATAGAAAGAAACGAAACCAAGTTCAACAAAAACCTGCAAAAATCTTCGCTCTTCAAGCCATTGTTTTACAGGCATCACTTTGTCATTAGCATCTTTCCACTCATTTGCTACTACTGTGGCCACTCTGTTTGCTGTTACCTTTGCACGGGCCAATTCCCGGTCAAGAGTTTTTCTTTCCTCCTGCAAAACACAATAACAAGCAGGCCATATTTAGGGCAGCTTACAAAGCATGCCAACCAAGAGGCCCAGCAAAATTCTAT